AATCCATGCAGCAGAATGTCTGGCTTAGGGCTAATGCTTAGAAATGTGATGAGTAGATAGTCCATGTTCATGGATAAGAGGACTCAGTATTCCAATAGGTTCTTCCTGGCTTGATCTGTAGATTCAACACAGTCCCAATCAAAACTGAACAGAACAGAGGAAAAACCCCAAAGGTTCTTTTCCCCATTCTAAAAGCAGAAAACACAAAATGCCTCACCTCTGGAAAGGATAGACTAAGATGTTTGTTCTGCTCTGTCTCTTTCCTCACCATTCACTCACCACTTCTGATCCAGATGTATAAGGGCCACATATGGAGATGGCCTCACAGGCCAAGCACACAATTCCCCTGTGGACACCAGCTGGGTGTCATCTGATTCCCTTCAAAGGTGACACTTTACTTGGTGATAGCTTTGGGTCCCATAGGCTGAGGGCTCAGCCCCACAAAACTGCCCTCACTTCCCAAGCCCCCGGTTGTGACCTCTACTTCTCACTGACCAGCTACAAGCTGGGGTTCCAACAGTCCCCTCCTTGGGTTCAGTTAATTTGCTAGAGTGGTTCACAGAACCCAGGGAAACGTGCCATCACTGGTTTGTTGTAGAGAATATTACAGAGGCTGACTGTATAGAAGACACGTGACCTTGAGAGTCTAAGGGTTCGGGGAGTCATGTGTCAGGAAACGGGAAATTTAATATATCCTGATTATCAGTCACAGAATCTCAGCAAGTCCCTTTGTGGATATTGACTGATTGATTCTAAAGTTTCCGTGGAAAGGCCACAAGCCCAGAGTAGCAAATACAGTGCTGAAGGAGCACAAAGTTAAAGGATGACATTAACTTGGAGCTACAGTCAGCAAGACAGTGTAGTGCTGGGAAAAGAATAGACAGCTGTATCAGTGACCGAGACAGCCCAGGCGAGTATTGCTGACCGACCTTTGACGACGGAGCAAGGACAGTGCGGTGGCAAAGGACAGTCTGTTCAGAGGGGTGGTGAACAAGCCAACGCTCACCAGGGGGGTGGCCAGGATGTAATGGAGGTGGCCAGCCGGGTGTCTGAAGCTTTGCCTGGGACAGGCCTGGCTTCCAAGGGGTGCTTGTTGTGCCAAAGTGCAAGGCGGTATGTGGGTGCTCAGGCCACGTGGATCTGGAGTGGCTGGGGGGCGTCCATTGCCTTTCTTACTGCGGTCATCTCCCATCGCACGAGTGTGAGGGGGCTGTAGCCCTTCGTCCTAACAACTGTGGGATGGCCTTGGAGGGCTTGATGCCGAGGACTGACATGAGCATGTCTTAAAGACAGCTCCGGTGATGACAGACTGCTGGGAGGGGACTTTAGTGGACAATGCAAGATCTCACGGCAGCTTGGCTTGTGGTGTTGACTCTGGCAGTGGAAAGAAGTGGATGGCTTCCGGAGCGATTTTGGAAGTAGAACTCATAACACTTAGTGATCGCTGCAAGACAGTGTTACAGTATAAAAAGTGTCAATCTTTAAAATTATAATTCTACAGCGAGGATAAAAGCTCACTGTTTCCCTCTTAGAAACATTTTCTGGGGAAAGAATTGTTAGACTAAATAGAAAAAATGTTTTGCTTGAAATTGCTGGACTGGACTGGCAGTCAGCTGGGTGTGTGAGTGTGTTAGTCAGTTTTCCCATTGCTGGACACGATGCCTGACACCCGAAACTTAAAGGGGGAGAGGTTCACTGTGGCTCATATTTTAAGGGGGCAGTCTGTGGTTGTCTGGTGCCAATGTAATATTTCATAGCGGAGGGAATCTGCTCACCTCATGGCAGCCAGGAAGGGGAGAGAGAAGGAAGGAGCGAGGGAGGGAGATAAACCCTTCCAGGCTGTGTCCCCAGTGACCTGCCTCTTCTGGCCAGGTCCCTCCTCCTAAGTGGGAACTCAGCCATGAGCTCATCCATGAATCTTTGGTGGGTATGGCGCGCCCCCCCATCCAGTCACCTCCCAAAAGTCCCACTTTTGAATAAATGACACTTGGGGGACAGTCTCCATTTAAACCATAGCAGTACTACTTTTGAAAACAAACCTTAGCACCATTGAAGTTTTTAGATAATTATAAAAGCAGTTAAATTAGGAAAGGCAATTTCCTCCTAGAAAGTTAGGAATTCCAGTGCACAAAAAGGATTTTTGAGGAACAAAGACCAAAAGTAGAGATAGGGAAGCCTCCAGTGTCTGGGCTGAATGAAAAATGGGGACCTGGACCCCAGCCCACCCGTCCACTTCACCAGCGTCTAGAGGCCCCCCCACAGCAGGGTCACTCGTAACTGAGAAGTGAATTTTAAAACTTTCTGTTTTGAAATAATTTTAGACTCAAGTGGATTTGGCAAAAGTAGATTTTCTGTGAGCTCTTCCTCCAGGACCCCCAGCGAGAACTCTTTCCTGATCATCGCGATCAAAACCCAGGCCTGGATACAGAGCAGGGCTTTTGCGAAGTGCAGACCCTCAATGGGTCCCACTGTCTTTCACAGGCCCTTGCCTTTCCTGTTGTTTTGTTTCTGTTTTGGTGTGTGGTGCTATTGTGCCACAACAACTTGTGTCCCACAACAAATAGCTATGTGTCCAATCACACACACGTACAGGACAAACGTGGTACTTACATTCTCTTCACAGGAGCTCATGACTCTCACACCCTCACCTTTCTTAGCTGAGTTCACCCTGTGTAAGAGCGGGAGGCTGTGGGCTCACCTGTCCCCTCTCTGTGAATTCTCCACAGCCTCCCCAGTCATTACCTGGGACTGACCACGAGCCTTTCTTATCCGTTCAGTGCTGACTCTAAAAAGTCTCTTCTCATGTACAACATGGTAACCACAGTGAATGACAATATATTGGTTTTTTTTTACTCTCTAAGAGAATAGACTTAAAATGTTCTCACCACAAAGAAATGGTAAGTCTGTGAGGTAATGCATATGCTAATTAGCACGATTGAGCCATCCCATAATATATACATGTTTCAAGACATCATATTGTGCAGGACAAGTATATGCAATCCTTTTTTGTCAAAAATGCAGCTGGGCGTGGTGGTGAACACCTGTAATCTCAGAATCCTGGGAGGCTGAGGCAGGAGGATTGCCACTTTGAGCCCAGCCTGGGCAACTTAGCAGTGTAGTAAGACTGTCTTACAATAAAAAAGGGAGCTGGGAGGTAGCTCAATGCAAAGGCCCTGGGTTCAACCATCAGTAGTGGAAAAAAAGATAAAACATAAAAAATAAATGTACTTTTTGCCTGTTCAGCCTTAGCGCTGTCTTCCCCCTTCCCAAGCCAAAGCCCCCTCTGTGCCTTCCTCTCCTGGTGTAGGGCTCAGGCCCCCCACTTCCCGTTTCTCTGATCTGTGCGTCGATGGAGGTGTGTGAAGCAGCTCTTTCGGTTGTAAGTGCCAGAAACTCATCTCAAACTAATCCAAGCAACAGGGGAGGATTTCCTGGTTCTTGTAAGTAGCACATTTCAGGGTGCCACTGGCTTAAAGTCGGACGGGACAGGGAGTGTGGTCCCTGCTACCCTAGGGTCATGTTTCACCAGCTTGGTTTCAGTAGAGGAGAGAATCTATAAATAGCTCTGTCCAGGTGAGTCCCCAGAGGATGCAGATGGGACAGCTAGGCCATATGCTCATCTGTGATCCAGTCTTGGAGCCAACATGTGGTCATTCTGTTGTGAATCACCTTATTCTGAAGCACACAGAACAGGTCTGTCCCAGGGACAGAAGGGACTAGTCAAGCTTGTCACTTGGGGCTGTCCATCTTTCAGTGGTCACTCCATGAGGCAAGAGGAACTCCTTGGCCCTGGTGGGCACCCTGACGTGTAGTTTTTGGCTAGGCATGGGTGGAGGAAGAATGATTTCCTCTGTTTCTGCTAACTGTTGCTGTACAGCAAACTAACCCAGAGCTTTGAGGCTTAAACCATACTCGTTTTATTTATTTGCTCCTATTTCTGCAGTTTCAGCAGGGGTCAGGGTCTGGAAGAGCTGGTTTCTGCTCTCAATGGTAGCAGCTGAAGTGGTGCACCAGGGACAGAGGGTCCATTTCCAAGATGGTGAAGCCACCTGCTGGCTGTTGGCTGGAATTCTTGGTTCTCCTTGTGAGGCTCCTCCAGGTGGCTAGCGTGGGCTTCTCACAGCATGGCGGTCTAACTTATGTGGGAGCTGGCTTACCCCTGAGCACAAGAAAAGAAGCTGCTGACCTTCTTAAGGGTCAGGTCCAGGATTGGCCCAGCATTGCCACACTTTGTTGGTTAAGGCAGATGACAGAAAAAGCCTGGATTCAAGGGCAGGAGATGACATGAAACATAAATACCAGAAGCTGTGCCCTATTAAGGGCCACCAGTGTAATGGCCCACCACACTCTTCACTTCTTCCAACAGGCCCATGGTCTCTGGAATTCCTATGGTCTCCCCACACCCTGGATTCTGACCCTCTTTTTTTTTTTTTGGTACCGGGGATTGAACTTGGGACCCTGCTCTTGCAAGGTGGGCGCTGGAACCACTGAGCTAAATTCCAGGCTCTCTTTTTTAAAAAGTAGTTATTCAGTGCTTTCTGTTTCTTTTTTCCCTTCAATTGAGCTAAAGAGCACTTGTAGCTTTTGAGACTCGGGGAAAAGATCACCAAGGTCCAGGTCAGTGCACAGTCAAGCTTTTATGCTGTCCAGAGTGATCCCCAAAGAGCAGAAGCCCTGTCTGTTGTCTTGGTAGAACATCCTGTGTCTCTCTTCACCTGAGTTGCATTGCCAAAGCTCATGTCCTGGTTTAATGTTGCATTTATCTTTGGAAGGGGTGAGAGGAGACCCCATGCCCTTCCTGTGCCCAGGCAGGCTGTTGGTCCTCTGTCCTCTCGCAGGAGGAGGGGACCTGAGCTCAGATGGGGATCCAGGTATGGAGACGCCTCAGGTCTCTCCTGTGGAGCAGAGGAGCTGGCTGTGGCTGGGCTGCATGTGTGCTGCTGTGTCCTGGGGCACAGTGAACGCTGGCTTCTCACTGGCTCATGTTTATTTCCTTTTAGTGGATATCATGGAAATCAAGGAAATTCGCCCAGGGAAGAACTCCAAGGACTTCGAGCGTGCAAAAGCAGTCCGCCAGAAGGAAGACTGCTGCTTCACCATCTTGTACGGCACCCATTTCGTCCTCAGCACACTCAGTTTGGCAAGTGGGTGCACATTTGCTCTTCTCCCTCTCTGTGCCTCAGTTTCCTTTTGCAGAAGTTCTCTAGTAGTAGATGTTCATACCTGCCTGCCCATTAACATGCATTTGGGGCCTTATGGTTTTGAATCCCATCCCTGCTGTGTGTCTTTGGGCAAGCTGCTTAACCTTTCTGAGCTGCAACTGCTCAACTGTGAAATGTGAAGAGCAATCATGCCCATCACATTGGAATGCTGGGAGTTGAGAGTTGAATATATGCAAACTAATGTGGTCAATACAGGCCAGGCTCCACTGGGCAAAAAAAGTCCCCCACTTTCATCCAGCAGATGTGGCATAGCAAACTTGACACTGATCTGATGGAACACTCCTGAGGTCTCATATGTGCACACAGCACATATACTCATGAGTACGCACACACAGGCACACACATGCACACAGTGATGTGCGTGAGTTTTCTGTCCCTGTGGATCCATCAAAGAGCAGAGGAACCATCTGGGAGGCAAGAATGGGATTGGGGAGCAACCCAGGCAGGTTACTCAGGGCAGAAGCTGTGACTGCTTTTTGGTCCAGCTCTAGCACTACTCAATTAGCAGTGTCTGTCTAGTCTGGACTGATGAGAAAAGATAAATAATAAATACTATCCAAGTAAAGCATACCAAAGAGGACTGTGGAAGTTGAGTAATACAGAGACATCTAATTAGGGGTCAAACAAGTTCTTATTAATTTCTCATTCTTTCATCAAGCATCTATTTTTGGGGGGGCTTTGACATGCTGGAACTTGAACCCAGGAGCATGCTAGGCAAGAGCTCTATTTCTGAGCAGTACTCCAAACCCCATCAAGTATCTATCGAGCACACGTTCTCTGCTAGGTTGTAGGCATTAATAGGGTGCAAGAGAGGAATAAGACCCAGTTGCTTTACAGAGCTCATAATTGTGTGTCCAGGAAGTTAAGTACACTGTGATCAGTGCTGCAGTGCACACATAGTACAGTGTGCTAGTACAGATGCCTAATTCCAGGGAGGGCTCTGCAGGGGCTGACTTATTTTAAACTGGGTTTTGAGGCATCCATAGGAGTTGGAAGGAGAGTGCGAGGGCAGTTCAGGAGAGGCATGGCCTGAGCAAACACTCAGAGAGGGAAGTAGCAAGCTGCCGGTGGGGGATAACAAAGGAATGTCTGATTTTTTGGTGGGTGGCGGGTAATAGAGGTGGAGTGAGGGAGAGGGATCACTAACCTAGACAGCTCTGGCCACATAGCCTCACCTACAGGCTGAGCCCTGGCTGTTGCTCTTGAAGGAGACCACAGGAGCACCAGGCCGGGACCTGGGATGCCAGCTTGGTGTCTGGCCCGCTCCAGGGTCTTCTAGAGCCCTGAGTTCAAGGCCTGGGTTCAGATCCCAGCTTTGCACTCACTGCTCTGGGGCTAATGCCCCATTGGAGCCTCAGTTTCCTCCTTCGCTAGGTGGGATGGAGGGGCGTACAATATCGGACTGCTGGTGCCCACAGGTGTTAATAGTGAGGCATCTGACAACAACAGGGGTGCAGAGCAGGTGAAGTGGCCGGCTGGATGCACGTGTCACGGACCCGTGCAACCATCTTCTTCCTCTCAGAAGCCGAGCTCTTTGCTGTCTTCTTGTCATTTTCTCACAGCAGTAGTTTCACCTCCCTCCCCCTTCCCTGGGCTCCCCAGTGGACCCAGGGAACACTGAGGGCCACTTGGGATTGCAGTACACATGATCCTGGGGGGCTCCCCAGTGACCCCGTCCTTCCGGCCCCACCTCCTAAGAGCACATTCAGCCTTGAAGTCATCCACAGGCTGATCCACTGATGAGTAAAGCACTTCCAGGGCCAGTCACCTTCTGAAAGCCTGGCCTCTGACATGTGAGTCCTCTGGGGCCACTTTAGATGTGAACCATGACTCCTGCCAGCCTGTTTCAGACTCTGACCTCCATGACCAGAAGGGGACACCTGTATTACTTTAAGCCCAAGTTCATGGCACTGTGTTACAGCCACGAAGGATGCTGAGGCCTTACCCAGGGGCACCCAGTGGCTCCAGCTGGGAATTTTCCTACTCTCCTCTCTGACTTAACCTCCCTCGGCAGGGGGGGACATAGGTATTGGGAGGGCCCTAGTGATTCTCCTGAGAAGCTGGAGCTGACCACCTGGTTCGAGCCCAGCCCAGGTTTGAATCCTCAGCTTTGCCATTTATGGATTAGTGTGCCATCCTGATGGCCACATGGCGGGCTCCTGTCTATGTCCTGAGCTGGCCCTGTCTCAGGTTGCTTTGGCTGCTGTAACAGTCTTCTCAGTGTGCATGCAGGTGGAGAGGGAGTGAGGGTCTCTTTTTCTTCTTGAGAAGGGCACTAATCCCTTTGTGGGAGCCCCACCTTATGACTTCATGTGAACCTCGTCACCTCCTAAGGCCGTACCTCCAAACACCGGGCCAGTGGGGTTACGGCTTCAGCCTATGAATTCAGTCTGTAACCAGCACTTGCAAGCAAAGATCTTCCCAGTGGTTCACGCAGCACTTCTCTTCCCATCCCCTCTCCAGCTGACTCCAGAGAGGATGCAATTATGTGGCTCTCAGGCCTGAAAATCTTGCACCAGGAAGTGATGAGCGCATCCACGCCCACTATCATAGAGAGGTACTCAGCTCTGCCTGCTGTTCACGTCCTGCCTCTTCTGGGCTCCCCGCCTGCTGTGTATGCAGTGGTGCCTAATAGCAGTTTTGGACGCTCCCCAGTAAGAGGGTCTGGTGCCAGTCTGCACCTGGCCTTCAGGTGACGCTGCCTTGGACCTCAGTTGGAAACAGCCATTGGTGCTGGTGGGGGACAGGAGAGCTCAGTGAGGCGGTCAGCTTCAGGGCCTGGGCCTGCCGCCTGTCACTTCCTCCTTGTTGGCGAAGGCCTTCTCTGTCTGTTTCTTCAGTGTCCCGGGAATTTGATGGGATTTCGGTGTGAGTTCCTCTCCCCCCACAAACTGAAGCCTCCGCCTGGCACCATTTTTTTCTTACCAGCCTTTTGGGATTAATGACTGTCATCAGAGGAGACTGTCACTTGACAGGGACCCAGAGTTTCCTTATGCAAGGGACCCCCTAGGCTCAGGCAAGGGTCTTCAACCGCAAGGAACCTGTACCCCAGGGTGGCCTTGGGGAGAAGCCGAAAGACCCTTTTAGTTCCAGTCTCTTCTGTCCCCATCCCATAGATCTTACTGAGATCTGCGCTATTTTCTAACTTTATTTGTCTCTCTCTCTCTCTGGTCTCCAATTTCTTTCTAGTTGGCTGAGAAAACAGATTTATTCTGTAGATCAAACCAGAAGAAACAGGTAAGAGTCATTCACATTTTTGCAGTTTTCAGTGCACTGTGACTGTCACTTGTGGTTTAAAGTTGCAAGGGTTTGGAGCATGTTCTGTGGCAGTGACGTCCTCCTGAGGTCAGATTTGACCTTCGTAGCGCCAGCTGCCGTGGCAGGGGCTAGGGCTCCATGGGAAGAGCGCTCCGCATGGGTGCGGCCTGCAGTCCAGTGGGAAAGTCGAGAACAGCTGCAGAGAGGACGTCTCTGCCACCGGGCACTCTGGCTTCTTCACAAATGTTTGAGGACCTTCGGTGTCCCAGGAACACACAGGAAACGCGATTGCTGTGGTGCCCACACTTCGTGGCAGGAGAGGCTGACCATGAGGGAGCGAACTGAGCTAAATGGCCATGGTGGAAGGACTGGGCAGAAGTGGGTGGCAATGTGTGACATGTCATTCTGTCCATTGGCCAGTACCTTGTGGAGCAGTTCCTATAAAGCATGTTTGAAGCTCCATGTCAGAGCTTCCTCTCCCTCCCTCTCCTCCTCCTCCTTCCCAGCCCTGGGGATTGGACCCCAGGCCTTTCCGTGAGCCTTTTTTTTTTTTTAATTTTGAGACACGGTCTCATGAAGTCACTAAGCTGCCCAGGCAGGGCTCAGACGTGTGACCCTCCTGCCTCAGCCTCCCAGAGTGCTGGGATTACAGGTGTGCACCGCCACATCTGGCCCAGCTTTCTTTAACAAACACATGGTTTGGGTTTTTCCTTAGATGAGACAAATGCAGTGTAGTCCTAGAAGTCATTTCCTTATTGATGGACACAAAGGGGTTCGCCAGGCCGTGTCATTGTGAACAACGCTGCTGTGAAGCCCTCAGGGGCTGCCTTTGTGTGGACCTGTGCGGGGTGGATGTGGGCGCGACCGGTGAATCCCAGATGTGGGTCTGGGCTGCCAAGTGCATCCTGTCCCATAGTGCTCTGGCTGGTGGTGTAGACATTCACCTTTTCCGAAGGTGCCCGGCTCCCCCGTCTCATCCAGCCCTTGCCTGTTGATAATCAGACGCATGAAAGACAGCAGTGGGATTCCACCTACATCTGCAGTTCTCTCCTTGCGAGTGAGGTTGGCCATCCTTTATTTATTTCTCACTTTCTGGAGGTCAGGGTCCTGTTGTTCTTCATAACGAGATGGTAAAAATTATCATTCATGGAGCGCTGTGCCTGCCAGGCACGGACTAAGCACCTCACAGTCCCATGTTAGCATCGCATTTGACCTTCAGAGGAGTCTCTTCCTCTTTATTCTCGGTTTAGACGCGTCTGCCTCTCCCGTTTTGGGCCTGGAGTCTGTCTATCCCTAAGCAGACTCATCCATCCCTCCTCTCCTTGCCGGAGGGTTGGGTGTGGCCCTGATGGGGTGGGGCAGTTAACCCTGGGGTGCTTCGTAGCCCTACTGTGTGCTTCTCTCTCCTCTTCCCCGAATGCATCCTGTGTTCCCAGCATCTGGTCCCTGGGCTGCCCTCTAGTGTCACCAGGTAGACTGGGGAGGTCCCCGCCTTGCAGGATCTGTCCACACTGCCTCTTTGAGCTGAGGAGGGCGACCTCCCGTGAGTGCTTTCTTTCTCTGTGTCTTATGTGGGTCACACTGGAGACAGCCACAGGGTAACGGGGAGCCGTGCTGGCCACGGCTGTCCCCATGGTGGTGATATTGGAGGTTAACCCAGCTCTGGAGTTCTGTGTGGGAAACACATGGCAGCCTTCCTCTTGCCCAGGGTGGATTCTTCAAGTCCTGTGTAGATCCCCTTCCCATCGGCTGGTCTCGGGCCTCAGCAGGGAGGACACCCCTCCTGGACATGGTCCCTGTGCCCTCCTCCCTCCCAGTGGCCGAGCTGCGCTGCTCTGTCACCACATGGAAAATCCCATCTCTTCCCAGAGAAGGCTTTTCAAAAGGAGCTTTGACCGAGGTGAGGCGCCTGTGAAAGAGCAACTAACGTCAGCTCTGCCAGTTTCCCTCCCTTTCCTGTCGCCCTCAGCAGTTTGACTGATCGTGTTTCCTGAGGAGAAGACCCATAGGGGCTGGGGGAGGGAGGCCTGTTGCCAGGGGGTAGCCAAGTCCCAGGGGCTCTGGTGAGTCCAGCCCTTGCTCTTCTCAGCTTCTCCGAGGGCAGAAAGGAGCAGCTGGCATTGGTGGAGAACGGGCTACACAGCAGCCCTGTTCTGAGCTCCTCATGGTCGCACTGGATGCTCTAGACCAACTGCTGTGCCAGGCACCCCTTTTAGAAGTGGGCACAGCAAGACTCAGGGGAGTTCAGTCACTCATCTAAAGCAACCCAGCTTGTCAGGGGTAGCACCAGGGTTTTAGGCTCATTATCAAGGCTTGATTTATTTATTTATTTATTTATTTTTGGTACCGGGGATCAGACTCAGGTCCTTGTGCTTGCGCAGCAGGTGGCGAAACCACTGAGCTAAATCCCTGGCCCCAAGGCTTGATTTATTTAGTTTTCAAATTAAACTTTGGTATTGAAAGCTAGGGATACCTGAATGTCAGAAAAAAATTAAAAAGGAACAGGGACTTAGGCCTATATTGCTAGAGAAGCAAAAAGCATATCGTCAATAGAAATACATTTTATTTATTAATTTTTAAAGACATACGAGGGGCAGAGATTTAGTTCAGTGGTGCTGGTGCCTGCCTCACAAGCACAGTGTCCTGAGTTCGATCCCCGGTACCACAAAAACAAAAAAGCTATAGGAAAAAAGACCACCTTTCATTTGGTTTTTACCAAGTATATTATATTTCCAAAGGTTAAAAAATGAAAGAAAGAAAATGAGGGAAATCCAGAAAGCTCTCCTCTCTCACACTCACAAAAAATTAATTTAAAATTTTTGTGGTAAAATGTATACAACAGAACACTTTTTAACCATCGTTTGGTCTGCAGTGCTGTGCAGTAAGGACATTCACATTGTGCAGCCATCATTACGGGGCCCCTCCACAACCTTCTCATCTTCCCCAAGTGAGACTCTGTGCCCACTGACAGTAGAACCCACCACTCTCTACCTCTGTGGACTTGATTATTTTAGGTTCCTCCTGTGAATGGAAGAAAGTCTGCACGCTGTGATGTCTTCAAGTTCATCCGTGCTGTGGCGTGTGTCAGAACCTCCTTTTGTAGACTAACAGCATTGTATGCATGCAGCACGTTGTTTATCCATCCACCCCCGATGGACACCTGGGTGGCTTCCTCCTTCCCGCTCTCGGGAATAGCACAGCCATGAACGTGGCTGTGCAAGTGTCCGTTTGATTCTCAGGCAGCTCTCCGTGGAGTTGCTGGAGTCAGTGGTGACTTCATGCTCTGAGGACCTGCTGGGCTGTTTCCCCCAGTGGCAGCGCCTTTCAGGGACCCACCAGCAGTCCATAGGTTTCCCCTCATCCTCACAGAACTTATTTTCCTTTCTTCCTCTGTCCCTGTGTGGATTCTTAGCCTCACGTGAGATGCGATTCTGACACAGGCCTGTTCTTGAGTCACCAGTGTCACTGTTGTCTGCCCTCTTCAGGTGCCACTAAAATACCCAAAGTCCCTATACTGGCTTTTGGAATGTTTCTAATCAGCCGGGGGTTCTTGCTCCATTGGATAGAAATCACGAATTGGCCAAGTGTAGCTCTTTAAGCATGAATAGCCCTAGGCTTTGAATGCCAGTGGCTGTCAGCTTTCGGTGTCAGTGACCCTCCTTGCCTCTCAGAGCCGGCAGCTGCTGTCCTTGGGGACTTTGGCTGGCTCTCAGGAATTCTCCATTCCTCTCCATCGTCTCTGCTGCTGGCCACCTTCAGGGTCACCGGCTCTGGCTGTTCATGGCACCAGTGGACTTTAGCATCACCAGCTATTTTGCACCAGCTCAGCACTGTCTGCCCGAGATAAAAATCACAGGTAGGCAAAGATATACCATCTGCAATAGGCTTTATGAGCATTTACACTGCAGCATCAAGGGAACAGCTCATGGGCTGAATCTGTTAAGGTCCGAGGAGGTTGCTTATGTGGGAGAAAAGGCAGGCTTGCACACGTGCAGTCAGATGGGTTCACAGGTAGGGGAGGCTCCCTTGCAGACTTAATTGATGAGGGCTGCAATAATCCAGTGAGGCTGGAGTCCTCTGGATAGGTTGTATTTGAGGCTTGTTGCAGCCAAAGCAAATGTCTATCGGAGCAGCTGTGGGGCACCTGGTAGAGCCGGGCTGGCTGCAAGGCACTTGGGGCAGCTGTGGAAGGAAAATAAAAGTGCCTCTTGGGGAGCTTGGGCGCTTCTCTCCTGGCACCCTGAGGCATGTAGTATTGAATTTTCACAAGCAGAGCACACTTCCTTTCTCCTCCAGCCCTGCAGGGACAGAGAGGAGCCTGGGTTGGGCCTCCAGGGAGGAGGAAGGGGAGGTCCTTGCTGTGGGAGCCAGGTGTGGGTCCATTTGTGTCCTAGAATGCAAATAGGTTTCACGTGGTTAATAGTTGCGGCTACGGCACAACAGTCACCTGGTGGGGGCTTTAGTCACAGCTCAGCAGATTCCTGGTCCCGGATGTGGCCTTGTCCATGGGAAATCTGAAGCAAAATGTTTACTGTGAAGCCAGGGTGGAGACTTAGGTCTCTCTAGAGAGGGATTTTGAAATATGAGTGTGTCCGAGTCCCTTGGAGGGTGTGTTAAAATGCAGATTGCAGGCTCCCTCTCCTTGGTGTCTGACTCAGTGGTTTGGGGCTGAGACTGAAGAATTTGCATGTTAACAAATCCCTGAGTGACATGGCCTCTGCTGCTGGTCCAGGAACTACTTAGAGAATCAGGACTCTGCAGCTACCCAGTCCAGTACAGGAGGCACTGACAACATGTGTCAATTTAAACTATGTTAGTGAAAATTAAATAAAATTAACAAATCCTTTCCTCATAGTAGCCCCATGTGGACAATGGACAGCATGGGTGTAGAACTTTTCCAGCATATTGGCAGTTCTAAGGTTTGAACCTGAGCGCTAAAACTTACTGGTCTTGGGAATTGGGACAAATGACTTCATTTTCCTGTGCCTCCCTTTCCTCCTTTGGAAGAGAGATAAGGAGAACCCCTCCCTCATACCCAGGGTTGGTTGTGAGAATTCAGTGATTTAATATGAAAAATGGTGTGGGCAGCACCTGGCTTAACATTAAATGTTTATTATTGTCATTAATATAAAAAGCTAGGGGTGGTGGAGGGGTTTGTCTTGTGTCAGGGTGGCAGGTAAGTTTCGGGGGCTGCCAACTTTAGCTCCTTTGGTAATGGCTGCCTGGCTGCATTGTGAAGGATTCTGGGGAATGGCCACAGTGTGAAGGAAAGCACATCATGACTGTTTAGTGATGTCTGCCATGAAAGAGGGTGGGACTGTTGGTAGTGCCTCGGGGGAGATTTTTGCTCTCCTTCCCTAAAGGGATTGCACTCTAGGAAACGGAGTGATCCGAGTTGTTTTGTTTGTGTGTTGGGGTCTGCCCTGTGTGCCATATCCCCACGCATAGACCTATCATTGTGCCACCAGGCAGAGTCCATGGAGGTCCCCTTAAAGAGAGATGGGGACCTCAACTTGGCCTGGGCAGATTCTTGATGTCTCATAGCAGAAAAGCATTTCCGGATGCGACAGTGGGAGGCATAGGCGGATTTATTAAGCAGAGTTAGAAAATAAGTAAACAAGGGAAGAAACTTCCGTCTAGGAGCTGAGGGAGGCTCAGCTGTGACCAAGATGGTCGGACTGGCCCCCTGGTTCACAGAGGAACAAGGCCAGATTTTATGGAAGGGCTGGCATGGGCTAGGGTCGGGTTGGTCGTTCCCTCCCTTCTGGTTGTAAAAGATGGCTCTGCAGAAGTCCTGGTGCTTGAGGGGCAGGCAGTCTGGTCTCCATGAGGTGCTCGTTTCTGCCGGGCACAGTCTCAGTCTGGTAGAGGCTCTGCTGGAATCCAAGGTGACTGTAGGCTTAGGACAATGACTGGAGACTCCTGGGTGCTCACTGGTAGTTGAACGTCCCTCAGTCTTGGAGAAGGACCTGTTGTGTAAATTTAGGGCTCATCAACTTTGTACCACCAGCTTTGAGACAGACCCCCTGAAGGATTAACCTGCCTCTGTGCAGAGCTGAGTGGGGATTTGACCTGGAGTTGTCAGGTAATGAGACAGATGCAAAATGCAGGCCACGCTGTGATCTGTGTCTAGTTAGTTACCTGCTGGGCATCTGTAGGCCAAGTAAAGAATTTTTTTTTTTTAAGGAAGCAAAAGCAGCTTTTAAGCCCTGACTGCCTCAGGAGAAAACACAAATTGTGTTGTTTTTTTTTAAGAAATTTTTTTTTTTTTGGTACCGGGGATCGAACTTGGGTCCTTGTGCTTGCGCAGCAGGCGGTGAAACCACTGAGCTAAATCCCCGGCCCAAATTGTGTTTTTAATGAGTAACAGACTAAGGGTGCAGACGTGCCCCTGCCTCTTGTGCGCATGGTGGTCTCTGCCTCCGCTGGCTGCTGGCTGCCCTTGGAAGTTGTGACCTTGGGCGAGACACTGTCAGGAGGAGCCCCAGAGACGGATGGCACCGAGAGCCAGTGGCTTCCTCCGCTCCGGTGGTGGGAAGTCCGTGTTCTGTGCCAGCCCAGAGAGGGCTGGGGGTGGGGTCAAGGCGCTTGGAATCCAAAGAAGCTCTTTGGCCCGTGGCTTTTATGTCCAAGTTGAGCCCTGTGGGCCAGGAGAGCGTGGGTGTCCCAGGTACTCAGCGTCCTACGCTCTGGTCCTGGTCTGCCCCGCTGGGCCCCGAGCAGCTGCCCGGCTCTCTGGCCCACCCTGTTTCCGAAGCTGGATGCGGGAGGCCTGCTTTGCCCTGCTGTAGCCTGGGCTCCTGAGGAGACATTGACTTCCTGCTTGCGCCTGGCCTGGCCCAGGCCCTTTCCTGTTCCCTCTTGAAGCTCCCCTGTCTGCTGGCTTCTCACCCAGCCAGCACCACCCCTGGGGGCTTTTTGTCCTCGTGGAAGCCGCAGTTGCTGCCCTGTGATGGGTGGGGCGGGGGGCATCTTGCAGGTCAAGGGCTCTGATGTCCACGAGGCCATTGGAACGAGGGGAAAGCAGCAGGTGGGACACCGGGCCAGCCAGTCTACCCGGTCTTCTCCAGAAAGAGCCACTGGGTGGTACTGTGCGGCTCCCTTCTGAAGGTGACGACAGAGGCCGAGCTGACTGTTGGAGACGCTGGGCCTTCCCGCCTTCCCCGGAGCAGCTTCCTTGCTGGCCACACCCCTCTCTCCAGTCCGCCAGGTGCTTGTGTCTGGGCAGATAGGTCTGGACCTCACCCCATGGCCATCCTGCCACCCTGACCTCTCTGTCCTCATAGTGTGTGCCGTACCCTGGAGCAGCCCAGAGAGGCGGTTGTGGGCATTCTGGGCTGGAGTCTAGGTCTAGCCTGGACTGGGCACCAAGCCTTCCGGCACCCCAGTTTCTTCAGTGGAAAATAGAGATAATAATGACATGGTCTCATGAAATTTTTTAAACCAGCAAGATGCACGAAAAAACTCCTAGGACAATGTCCTGGATCCGATGGGCACCAGGAGGCTTCAGCTGTGCTTATAGTTGTCTTTATTGTTAATCCTTGTCCCTTTTCCTGGGAGCCACATTCTCTCTCCCAAACTGCATTTGGGACCAGCTCGTTCAGATGACTGTGACCAGCTCTCCTGGCAGGATGGCTGTTTTGGAATTTGATTCCAACCCAACTCTGTTGCTACCCATGGGCACATGCCATGATCCACCTGTTCTGAACCCTGGGGCCAGTAGCATGCGCTGTAGGGGCAGGACATGGTGACACGGATAGTGTTACAGCCTGAGCAACAATACCCAGAGCAGCGTGGCACATAGGAGGGGCTCAGGTGCTGTCTGCTCCTTTCCCTGCCCCTCTCTGGTGACCTCCTCTTGCTTTGCACCCCTGTGGATGTTCTCTGAGGCTCTCTGGACACCCAACACTGTTCCACCCACACTGGATCTTCCACAGGACCCCTTGTCCCTGGCTGGTTTGGATTCTTAGCCACGTTTAAGATGGAAACCAAACATGGGCTGGTTCTTGAGCCTGCTGGTGACCATCCGTGTGGTCTTCTTTCTTCTTCGAGCCCTGTAAAGGGGAGGGTCCTTGGATGGGCTTCCGAGATGTCACCAATTGGCAGGAGGTTCTTGCTCAATTTGTGTAGAAGTCATGAACTGGCAAAGGGGAGTTCTTTTAGTGTTAACTGCTCTGAACTTTAGATGCCCATGGATATTCTTTTAGCATTAGTGGCCTTCTAGACACTTAGAAGCAAAGGCTGCCAGCGAGTCTTGGGACATCTTCTAGCCACTGAGAGGGGTAGCTTCCAACAGTTTTCATTGTTGTCTGTCATTCTCTGGTTGCTGGCTGCCTTCAGTGTGACCAGCTTGGCCTTTGCCACTTTTGATACCAGCAAGCTTCGGTGTCAGCAGCTCTTAGTGTACCAGCTCAGTCTTCTCTACGTGAGCTGGAAATAGGAACAGGTAGGAACATCCAGAGCCCCTGTTAGGACTCAGGCTGTAGCATAAGAAGGAACAGCTCATGGGAAGCTGCTAAAGGAAACGGGAGATTTCTTACATAGGAAAAAAAGATGGGATCCTGCATGGGCGGACGGACGTTCTGTGTGGTCATGGGTAGAGGAGGATGCCCTTGTGTACCTAATTGAGGAGGAGTAGAGTCAGGCAAAGACTGCAAAGGCAGTGGCCTGGGAGAGGCCCGGGGCTGAGGCCTGCCACAGCTAATGCAAATGCTCCTGGAGTTGCTTCAGGGCACTTGATGGGCTGGGCCAGCTACAAGGTGTTTGGGCAACTGTGGAAGAAGGTTCTAGTACTTCTTGGGGAGCCTTGGACCCTTCCGTCCTGTCTTGCCCTCCACCTCTAGCCCTGAGTGTTCTGATCTTGGTTGGTGCTCAGGGAACAACTGTGAGCCGGGTGTTTTCCTGGAGGGATGCTGAGGCGGAGCCCATGGGGTCGACTGCACCTTGTACTATTGAGCCCCTCAGATTGGTGGAGATGGGTTTTTTTCTCTTTTATAGCATCAGCCTCCGAGAGTTGAAGGCCATCCTACCCCTGGTCAACTTCAAAGTGAGCAGTGCCAAGTTCCTCAAAGATAAGCTTGTGGTAAGTTTTGTAGCCCAGCCTGGGGATTTTATGATGTCAGGCCTACTCAGCAGGTCTCCCCTGAACCTAGGATAGCCTTGGAGCCCCATGCAATGGTCCCCGAGGGTCCTTTGCCTCCAGAGTGCATCTGTCCTGTCCAGCTGGTGGGGTCGTGTAAATATGTGAGGACCACGTTCCCAGTCCTTGAAGAGCATGCAGTCAGGGAAGACTGTGTGTGCCGGGCTGTTTGACTTGGAACATCTACACTCAGACCTGTTTCCACCAGGCCATCTTTCACCGTTCCCCTGACCTCCCGCAGTCCACTTTCCTCCTAGAGGCATGAGCACATGTGTGTCTTTTGCAAAGCATTGTGAAAGATCCCTTACCTAGGGTGCCAGGGATGGGGCACTCTGTGTGCAAGCCCTGGGAGGTGCTTGTCGGGGCTGGTTCTCTCCTCTTCCTCTTCTCCTCCAACCACCTGTCTTTCTACTCATCACGGAGTTCATTGATGTTCTTCTGCAGTCAGGCTGTTGGTTGAGCAGGGCAGGGAAGCCGCTCTAGGAGCAATGGATATAGAGGCCACGGGGGCCTTTTCCAGGTAGGGCAGGGATGGATGGCGGTCATGAGTGAGCACTGATACTGACTGTCACCAGAGAATGAACCCTCAGCCCCAGGACCCCACTGCCCATGCCAGCTGTCTCGCCTAGGATGCCTCTGCTGGAGAAGTTCATTTTCCTTTCGTACTAGTGAGCTCCTGAAAAAGCTGGCCCGTTTCACTGCTGCCAGGCCATCCTTTACCTGCCCCCCACTTCCCCGCTAATTCCCAGGGGAGAGAGAGATGGGCGGGATTTAAGAAGAGAAAGATGGGACACGAATTTCCATTGATAACCATGTAGTGGGAATATTATTCTTTATCAGGCATTTCTGGAGTCAGGCATTTTGTAGATATTATCTTGTTTTGGTTTCCAGAAAGCCCTAAGAGGGTAGTGGTGATCCTCTCGTTTTACAGATGAAGAAACTGAGGGTCCAAAGAGGTGAATTGTAAATGTTTTGCTTCAACAGCAACAACAACAAAAAACCCCCAACCAACCAAACAAAAAGGGTGCATTACCTAATGCAGTCGATTCTAGCTGATTAAGTCAAGATTTTTAAAAATTTGCTTTAAAAACAATTTTTAAGTACAAGCCTTATAAATACATCTGGATATAGAAATCTGAAGGTGGTGTCTCCTGTCCAGAAGAGGAGATATCCATTATGTCTTTTGGAAGTGAAGATTTTTACCTCTTGGGGCTCAAAGATGGGGGTCCCTGAATGATCTCCCAGACAAGTGAGTTAGGAAACTCATGGACAGGTTGGGTTTAGAGGAATGCAAGTTTGATTTTAGCAGAGTTGCAGAGCAGCCATTCTATTTCTGTATACTGGCTGGAAGCATTCTTGTGGTGGACTTCCAACATTATGTGGTCATTTTTTTTTTTTAATATTTACAGGAAATTAGTGCACACAAAGACGAACTCAGCTTTGAGCAGTTTCATCTCTTCTATAAAAAACTTATGTTTGAGCAGCAAAAACTGGTAAGTCCTTGAACAAATGATCAAATGATGTTCTGTCTTCCTCATATTGGGGAGTCTGGTACCCCAAGGAGTAATCTCCCCTTTAGTCAAGGAAACACAAGATGGGAATGCCAGTAACATACTGTTTTCATTTATTAGCTGGGCAAAAAGTTGTAACCATGGTAGAGCTGTGGGGAAAGGTATTTACCTCCCTCCCTCATGGGAATGGGAATGGCCATAGGTTCAACCAGAAGTATGTCTGAATCTATTAAAGTGAAAATATGCTACCAACTCTGCTGTATTATCTCACTCTAGAAGGAAATTTAGTAAATTATTCCTGGTAGCCATCTCCAAATTGAGAGATTATGTGTTTTTTTCTTTTTATAATTTTTATATTTTTATGAGGACTTTTTTTTTTTTTTTTTTTGGTACTGGGGATCGAACTCGGGTCCTTGCGCTTGCGCAGCAGGCGGCGGAAACCGCTGAGCTAAATCCCCGGCCCAATGAGGATTTTTTTGATTAAAAGGATAGGCTATTTTGAAATTAAAATGGACATACATTTTGATCTGGAGGTGGCAATTCAGACCGGCCCAAGATGTATTTGTATTTCAATCTGTGTTTTGTATTATGCCTCTCTTAAAAATGTGGGGGGGGGGGGGGGATTGCAGGACTCTGAAACTTTGTGTGGGAAAAATACAGGTTGCCCCCTAGTGGCCAGAATATTACATTGCGCCAACAGCTGGCTGTCCTTGGCCTGTCCAGTGGTTTAAATATTTTCACAATTAACTGTCTACATTTAAAACTTGAAAAATTGTATATTAAAATCCAGATTTTTGGCCAGAGATTTAGCTCAGTGGTTTTGCCGCCTGCTGCGCAAGCGCAAGGACCCGAGTTCGATGCCCGGTACCAAAAAAAAAAAATCCAGAGTTTTGGCTTCTATTGAAAAAAACTGAAATCTGTCTATAAATGGGCCCTCATTTCCTGGCGAAGTCTTGCAGAAAGGAGTGCACACTCCCTTGGTAGCTCCAGCTCTGCCCACCAATTTGCATTGTCCATGTGGCTGAGCAGAAGTTTTGAGTTGACAGCGATGGTCTCCAGTGTTGCAGTTTCTAACGCTGCAGTTTGGCCCCTGCCCCCTTTACTTCAGTAGTTTAGAATTTGAATAACAAAACCCCAATATGCACAACTAGTTTCCAGCCAACTTGAGAATCCACCCTGGTCCTGCGGGTCAGCGCCCTTCCCCCAACTTCCTGCTGGAAGGGGCAGAAAAAAGCATTAGTGTCAAGGTGAGGTGGGGTGGGGTGAGTTGGGTTTCTCAGGCGCCTTGGAGAGATGATGAACCTCAGACCCAAATCTTGGGAGTAGGCTCAGCCTTATTGGTAGCTGAATGGCTTCCAGCTTGAGGTTGGCAGTTAGTTCCTCCTTGTGTCCAACCACCTCCTTGCGTTTCAACTCTCAAGCTCATAGTTTCTAAAAGTTGGGCTGCAGCAGGAAGAGAAATGCAATTGCATGTGTGTTCTCCATGGTGACGGGGTACATATCCTGCTAGGTTGTGACAATATCATTGGTGCTAATGATTGCTGACAATTTCTTAGGTGGACTATATGCTAAGGCACTGTGCAGAGCAGTCAATAAATATTTAATTCTCCCCAGCGCCCTGGGAAAGAGACAGTGGGATTGTCCCTATTTTGTGGATGAGAAATTGAAGCTCAGAGGTCACGCCGCTAGGAAGCTGCAGAGCTAGGATATGAGTTCTCCTGCCCAACTTCAATGGCAGCCACTGGTTCGTCTTGTTAATTCTTAGAACTTTTGTGTTAGAATAATTTCCAGCATAAAGTGTAAGATAGAATAGTGTGATCAAGCCCACATACTGTCACCCACTTCAACAATGATTGTAGGTCACTGCCATCTTATTACATTGGTGGTCCCACCCTCTACCCACTTCTCCTAGGATTTTGAAGCAAACCTTAGGTGTTTTATCAATTCATCTATAAGTATTTTTTTTTTTTTTTTTTTGGTGCTGGGGATCGAACTCGGGTCCTTGCGCTTGCGCAGCAAGCAGTGAAACCACTGAGCTAAATCCCCAGCCCAATAAGTATTTTAATTGAATACCCAGCTCCGTTCCTGTTTCCCAGCTCCTTCCCGGTCACCCCTGTGAGGTCCCCTTGGTTACAGTATTGCTCATATAAACGAGAAGAAATGCTTTCCAGTAGAAAGAGAACTGAGACACCCGCAAAGCCACATACGGCTGTACCTGCGGTCACGCATGCGAGAAGAGGGCTAGGGTTAGTCCTGCAGCTTCCACTTGGGAGGGTGGTAGGGGAGGGGTCAGCACCTCAGGGTGATGGATGCTGCAGATTGTTCTGGGTTGGTGGGTGGCTGGGAAAGGAGAGTCCGTGGGGCAGGCAGAAGTTAGCAATGAATCTCTTGTTGGTTTTTCTGTCATTTTTGTTTAATTTTTTGGGTACCTGTTTGCAGTACATGATTACATTCAGTGTGGGATTAGTGGATATACGTAACACGTCTTGATTCTTTATTCCTCCTTACCCCCTGTCCCTATTTTTAAAATTTTATCTTTTTTTGCCAGCATAGACTTATTTATTGGAGAAGTCATTATTAAGTTAATATAAACACAGATTAACAGCCAAACTTACAGGCCAAAATCAAAGCAACTGTACTACATCAAGGTGTACTTGTAGATACGTTGGCCATGCTGGATTACAGTTAACTATTTTTTTCTCTTTCTCTGCCCCTATTGTCTGTCTCTTATTTTGTACTTTATTTATATATGGTATTGTGTTTATTATATAAGAGGAAACCATGTGATTTTTAACATTATTATTGTCATTAGTCCATGTTTGCAGCACACATGATCACCTTCCTTGCAGTGAGTTGGTGTATTCACACAACTCATCTCAATTCTTTTTTCCCACTTTCCTCTCCATTCCCCTTTTAAAAAATTTTTTGCCGGCATCAGATTATTTATAAATCTGTATCAAGTTAATTATCATAAGTACAGATTAACAGCCAGACAGTCTAAAAATCATAAAATATACATAAGACAATTACACTAAATCAAGGTACACTTTTAGACAAATTGTCCATGCTAAATTAAATAACATTTTCTCTTTTTTTCCTGTATCTTTTATTTTGTACTTTATTGATATATATGGCTTCTCATAACAAGAGAAACCATGCAATATTCAAGTCTGTATGTTTGATTTACTTTGTTAACATTATGGTCTCGAGGTGCATCCATTTTCCTACAAATGACTCAAGTTTATCATTCTTCATGGCAGAGTAGTACTCCACTGTGTAAATACCACATTCTCTTTATCCATTCATCTGTTGATGGACATATACCCTGGTTCCAAGATTTAGCTATCATGAATTATGTTGCTCTGAACATAGGTATGCATACATCACTGTGACATGGTGTCTGTAACTCTTTTGGGAAGATTCTTAGGGGAATAGCTGGGTCAAATGGAATTTCTATTTTTAGTTTTTTGAGGAATCTCCATACTGATCTCCATAGTGTTTGTACCAGTTTACACTTCCACCAACAATGAAAAAGGGCTCCCCCCCCCAACAGCCTCTCTAGTTTATTACTTGATTTCTTAAAGATAGCCATTCTTTCTGGAGTGAGATGGGCCTCAGTGTTGTTTAAATTGGCATTTCTCAAATGGCCAATAATGTTGAACATTTTTTCATGTATTTATTGGCTATTCGTACTTCATCTGAGAAGTGTCTATTAATTTCATTTTTTAATTAGGTCTTTAAATCTGGGGGAGATCTAATTTTGGGGTTGCCTTATATATTCTGGATATTAGTCCTTTGAGGAGTAGCTGGCAAATGTTTTTCCCATTCTGCAGGTCTTCTTTTCACTCTGTTGGTGGTTTCCTTTGCTGTCCAGAAGTTTTTAGTTTGATATGATCCTATTTGTCGATTCTTGGTATTATATCTTGTGCAAGTGGGGTTGTGTTCAGAAAGTCTTTGCTGATGCCTGTGTCTTCAAAAGTTTTACTTATTTTGTCTTCTGGCAGATAGTTTCTGTTTTAATATTTAGATCTTTGATCCATTTTCATTTTAGATTAGTACATGGTAAGAGAGAGGAATCTAGGTTTGATCTTTGGCATATGGATAGCCAGTTTTCCAGCATCATTTGTTGAAGAGCCTATCTTACCTCCAATGAAAATATTTCATCCTTTATCAAAGATAAGGTAGCTGAATGTGGCTGGAGTAGTATCTGCTTCTTCTGTTCTATTCCGTTGATTCACCAGTCTGGTCTTTTCCCAATACCATGCTGTTGTGGTCACTGTAGCTTTGTAGTATAGCTTCGATGCCTCCTGCCTTTCCTTTGTTGCTCAGAATTGCTTTTGTTATCCTAGGTCTCTTATGGTTCCATATGAATTTGAGGAATGTTTTCTTTAGTTCTGTGAGGTATGCTATTAGTATTTTGATTGAGAGTATGTTAAATCTGTACATCAGTTTTGGAAGTATGGCCATTTTTACTATATTGGTTCTGCCTGTCCAGGAACAGGGGATGTCTTTTTCCATTTTCTGATACCCTCTTCAATCTCCTTTTACAGAATTCTGTGGTTTTCAGTGTAGAGGTCTTTTACTTTCTTGGTTAGGTTAATTCCTAAGTATGTCATTTTTCTTGGTGCTATTGTGAAAGATGAGTTTATTATGGTGCACAGGAACATGATTGGTTTTTCAGTATTGACTTTGTATCCTGTTATGCTAGTAAGTTTGATAACTAATTCTAGTAGTCTTGGTGGAGTTTTTGGGGTCTTCTGTGTAGATGATCCTGTCATTTGCGAATAATGATAATTTGACTTCTTACTTTTTTTTTTTTTTTTTGGTACCAGGGATCAAACTCGGGTCCTTGTGCTTGTGCAGCAGGTGGCGAAACCACTGAGTTAAATCCCCAGCCCCTTATTTTCTTATTCATATCCTTTTTCTTTCTTTTTCTTGCCTAATTGCTCTGACTATTGTTTTGAGAACCATATTGAACAAGAATATTGATAGCAGACATCCTTGTCTCGTTCCTGATTTTAGAAGGAAAGCTTTCAGCTTCTGTCCATTTAATATGCTGTTGACCATTGGTTTGCCATAGATACCTTTTATCGGATTGAGATAAAGACTATCTCTACCAATTTTCTCTAGAGTTTTTTTTTTATCATGAATGGATGTTGGATTTTGTCAAATGCCTTTTCTGGGTCTATGGAGATGATCATGATTTTGTCTTTGCTTTTATTTATGTGGTGAATTACATTTATTGGCTTGAATATGTTGAACCATCCCTGCATCTCTGGAATGAATCCTACTTGGTCATGATGTATGATCTTTTTGATGATTTGCTGGATTTTATTTGCCAATATCTTATGGAGGATTTTTGCATCTGTGTTCATTAAAGAGATTGGCCTGTAGTTCTCTTTTTTGGTTGGGCCCTTTCCGGGTTTTGGAGTCAGGGTAATGCTTCCAGGAATGACTTTGAGAGTACTGGTTCCTTTTTGATTTCATTAAAGAATTTGAGGAGTATTGGCACTAGATCTTCTCTAAAGTTCTAGTAGAATTCGGAGTGAATCTGTTGGGACCTGGGCTTTTCTTAGTTGGTAATTTTTTTTCATTACTTCTTCAGTTTCATTGACTAATACTGGATTCTTCAGGATTTCTATATCTTCTTGGCTTTGATAATTCATGTGTATCTAGAAATTGATCCATTTCTTCTGAATTTTTCCATTTTATTAGAGCATAGGTTCTCAAAGTAGTCACCAATGATTTTCTGGATTTCAATAGAATCCCTTGTGATTTCACGTTTTTCATTTCTAATTGCATGGCTTTGAGCCTTTTCTTCTCTTATTTTGGTAAGATTGACTAAGTATTTGTCTATTTTGTTTATTCTTTCAAAGAACCAACTCCAGTTTATTGATTCTTTATATTTTTTGTCTCAGTTTCATCAGTCTCTGCTCTGATCTTTAAAATTTCCTTCCTCAGGCTAGCTTTGGATTTTGATTGTTCTTGTTTTTCTAGAACTTGAGGTTATTTCTATGAACTTGCTCCATTTTTGTTATTTATATGAACTTGCTCTATTTTTGTTTAGTGTCCTATAGGTTCCAGTATGTTGTACTGGCATTATCATTTGGTTGTAGGAACTGCCTAATTTCATCTGTGACCCACTGATTATTCAAGAGGGTTTTGTTTAATATCCATGTCTTTGCATAGCTTCTGTCATTTCTTTTGACATTGATTTCTAGTTTCATTGCTATATGATTCAATAATATGCATGGGATAATTTTGTTCTTTTGCGTTTACTTATGCATGCTTTATGGGCTATGTGTTCTATTTTGGAGAAAGTTCCATGTGCTGCTGGGAAGATTGTGTATTTTGTTGTTCAATGGAACGGTCTGTAAATATCCATTCAGTCTATTTACTTGAAGGTTTTGTTCAACTCTGATGTTTGTTGATTTTTTTTGTCTAGTTGATTTATTTGTGACAGTGGGGTCTTGAAGTCCCTATTACAATTGTATTGCTGTTTATCTCATCTTTCATGTGCATTACTGTTTGTTTCATGAAGTTGGGTGCACTGAAATTTGGTGTGTATATGTTTATAATTGTTATATCTTCCTATTGAATTGTTCCCTTGACCAATACGTAGTGACTTTCTTTGTATCTTCTGATCAGTTTACTTTGAAATCTACTGTCTCAAATTAGGATAGCTACGGGCTGGGGATTTAGCTCAGTGGTTTCGCCGCCTGCTGCACAAGCGCAAGAACCCGAGTTTGATCCCCGGTACCAAAAAAAAAAAAAAAATAGGATAGCTACTCTTGCTTTTTTCTTGGGTCCCATTGTATTTCCCACGAGGCATGAGATGGGAGCTGAAGAGAAAATGCATCTGTCTTTCCCCTTTCCATGTTGTGTTCTGTCTCTTCGATTTCTCTGCACGTTTTAATTTTCCTGTCAGATCCTTCTTGTTCCCAGGGATCTAATTCTCTCTTTTTGTTTCCCCAAGTTATTTTCTTCTGTCTGGATTCTGAATCTCAGAGAGTCTGAGTTGTTGCTCAGCACTCCACCATTTTCCTGGAATTCTCCCCACAACATGGCTTTTCAAATAGTAAGGCAGGGCTGTTCAGGGTGCAGAATAATATGTAGAGCTGGGAACAAAAGCAAAAAGTTCGAGATGTGCATGGTATGATAAAATAGGATAAGATATAGTTAAGTGAATATCCACAAACCAAACTCTGGCAGGAACCTAGGAAATTGTTAATAGTGATTGCTTCTCAGGAATAAGACTGAAAAGGGTGAAGAGGACATCTACCCTTCACACCAGAGGGTTCTGTTATATTTGAATATTTACAACTAACAAGAATGATGTTGATAATTCTTTGATGACCAAGTCTTCTCATTGGCATTACTCGACTTGTCTAATATTCTTATTTTGTGTGTTTTCCATTTCAGATTCTTGACGAATTCAAAAAGGATTCCTCCGTGTTTATCCTGGGGTGAGGACCCTTCAGGTGCTGCCATCAGGATGGCTGTGTCCTGTGTCCAGTGGCCTCTGGGAGGGGCCAGCTCTGACCGCCACGGGGACCCGGTCCTGAGCCTGTGCCTAGACTGGGAGCAGCTGCACTGGGCTGTGGAGTGCTGGGAGTTGTCAGGGTTCTGGGCCTCAGGGTCTCCTTCCTGACCGTGCATCTCTGCCCTGAGGAGTTCATAGGTTTCTCACAAGCGTCAGTGATGTGAATGGGCAGAGGAGTCGGAAATGCCTGGCTGAGTAGGCTGGGCTGGATGAGCATGGGCTGGGCATCTTCAGTGCTTCCCCTGCTGCTCGGCGCATGTTCACGGCTCATATATAAAATGATATTTTAGCGCCAGTGCTGCAAGACAGTTCAGGACCTTTCCTAGGCTTTGAGATTCCCCAAGTAGGGATTTATAAGGCACCTGTCTGACGGGGACATGGTTTGCCGCCGAGTTAATGGCACGTAGTTGTGGCTGTGGCGCACAGACGGAGTCCACGCGGTCACCTCCCAAAGCCCACAGCAGAGGAGCCTGAGCTCACAGGGCGTGAGGATGAGAAGGCTGGTGTGAGACTGCAGGCTGGGCAGGAGGGGACAGAAACGGACTCGGAAGGAAGGCCGCCGCCTGCAGGCCTGCGCGTTCAGCAAAGGCAGACAGCTGCAGGCGCATTTTGTCTCTTGAAGTGGTTTAAAGGGGCTCATTCCCGCCCTCTGCCATGCTCCGGGCAGTTCCCTGTTCCATCCTGCAGGATGCACATCCCCTGGGTACCAGTGTGCCTCACACCAGGCCAGCGAGATCCCAGAGTCTAGGCAGTGTCTGTCACGGCTGCTGCCCTCCCTGTATTCAGGACACAGCCCTCGGCTGGGGTGGAGGAGTCTCCAGACACCGGGCCCTGGCAGTGGCTGGTGTGCTCCAGCGGATGTCCCCGTCCTCAGGCTCGGTGTGGGCAGCACACGCTGTCCTGTGGTGTGTGACCCTTCTTGCTGCCCTGGTCTCTGGCTGGTCCCTCTGTCTTCACGGCCCCACCCCTGAGGTGCTCCTCAGACCAGGACAGTAGCAGGGGCACTAGGAGTGGGCCCCACCCTCGAGACTCAGGCTCCAGGGCCCTGTGAATCCTTGTAGGTCCAGACCTGTGTCTCCATGTGGGCCACATGGTACCTGGCCCTGGGCAGGGTAGGGGCCCTCTGGGGGTACAAGGACTCTCTGTGGAATGTGTCCCTAATGTATGTCCCCTTTCCTCATGTGCAGGAACACTGACCGACCTGATGCCTCTGCCGTTTACCTGCAGGACTTCCAGAGGTTTCTTGTACACGAGCAGCAGGTTAGGGGACAGTGGGGCTGTGGGGGGAGTAGGTGGCGACCCCCTGTGCCCTGGTCCCTGCTGTCACGGAGCAGGTGCAGCCTCCCTGACCCTGAGCGCTTTCAATGGTTGTCAAAAGCCACTTTGCTGGGCCGGGGATTTAGCTCAGTGGTTTTGCCACCTGCTGCGCAAGCGCAGGGACCCAAGTTCAATCCCCGGTACCAAAAAAACCCCCCAAAACCAAATAAAAGCCACTTTGCTGTCTTAAAGCACAACTCTGTGCAGGGCCGAGGATTTAGCTCAGCGGTTTCGCTGCCTGCTGCACAAGTGCAAGGACCCGAGTTCAATCCCTGGTACCAAAAAAAAGTACAACTCTGTGTCACTCAGGCCCAGGAAGAGGAGGAACGAGGTGAGGGCCCAGGGCACTGTGCATAGCTCACCTCTGCCTGGGAAGCCTCCCCTGCTCACGGAGGATGCGGCTTTGCCGGCCGAGCCACTGGGTGTTCTGGGGTATGAGACAGCTGAGGACCCAGGGAGTCTCCCTGGATGGAGGCCGCAGCTGGGCTCTGGGCCTGAGGCAGAGCTGAGGGGTTTTGTGTGGGTGCTGGTTTCTACCAGCGCAACCTCCCCCAAAGACACCAGTCAGTTGCCACATGGGATGCACCTGGCGTCTGGCAGGCAGAGGGCAGGGATGTTGCCTGGCGTCCTACCGTGATGCGATGCCCCACCCCAGGGCAGGATCCGGCTGCCTTGTTGCTAGTGTCCCGGATGAGGAGCGGTGTGGCAGCAAGGGAAATCTGGCAGCCTCTGACCAGCTGTGTGGCCTTGGTCAGGTAGCTTAACCTTTCTGTGCCTGGTTTCCTCCCTCTGAAATGTGGCAAGAGCCCCCATCTCTTGGAACTCTGGGGATTGCAGAAGACTGCAGTGCGCAACTGCGTATGTTGAGGCTCACTTGTATTTAAAATTCTTCTTTTTATCATTGGAGTCTCAACGATTTTTTTTTCTCATTTATTACCTTTTATTTCCCCCGAATCAGGAATCGAATTCAGGACTTTGCACTTGCCAGGCAGGTACAACGACCTTTTGGTTTTGATAGACTTTAAACTGGGTGTGTGGTGCATGACAATAATCTTAGTACCCTGGGAGGCTGAGGGAGGAGGATTACAAGTTCGAGTTCAGGCTGGGCAATCTAGGGAGACCCTGTTTCAAAAACAAGAAAAAGGAGGCCTCGGAGTGTAGCTCAGTGCAAAGGCCCTGGGTTTAATCTGCAGTACTGTTCTCGTTGCCCTCACAAACTTTACATTTTACAGCAGTTTTAGTTTGCCATAAAATTTAAGTATTTT